CACCATTTCCTGCAGACTGAGCTTCCCCAACTTCGCCAACGAGGGGGAGTCGGCTTGGACCCAAACCACCCCGCAAGCAAGCACCTTCTTCAGAACGCGACACTTCTCTTTGTCGGTCAGTGTTGCCATCGCTTTCCAACAATGTGTGTCCGACCCAGGCACTTGCACGAACCAATCGCCCTCCTCTTTCTCCTTTTTGCCTTTCTTAGTCAGCGGCTCCACGGGGACGTTGTAAACGACCTTTTTTCTACCCATCTTGTCGTTGTCGATGTCGATGTAGGCGACCCACGGCTTGACGTTTTTGACCTTCTTCTTCTTAATGATCCACTTTGCTCCGTCGTGGCCCAACAATCTACCTCTCTCCCATTTTTCAGAAAATTCCACGGCCAGTTTCTAGATATTCTCTCTGGTCATCGCCAGCGGGAAATAAGAACGCAGGGCAGTGTTTTGTTTCTTGATGGCGTCCTCTCCCTTTTGATCCGCGAGAATCCACAAGTTGTTGAACGTAGTCTTATGGATCGCCATCGTACAAAACTCACACCATTTTCAGACCTGTTCTTGTTTCCCGTTGGGGTTCCCCATGACAGCTATTGAGAAACCGTTATGCTTCCACTGCCACCGAATGTCTTTCATGGTCATTTTCAACTGTCTAGAAGGTGCCTTGAGGTCCTTTTTGTTGTCCTGGGAACTAACAAGGAAATACCCTTCGAAGTCGTCGTTCGAAAAGTACACCATACGTGTCGGACACCTCTCAAAATTATACTTTTCGACCACCTCGTTGTCGAGAAGTGACCTGGCGGCAGATGCATTGTGCTGCCCACACATCACGTAGTAGTAGTATTGGCCCGCCAGCCCGTCATTCCAGTCCTCCGGCTTCAGCCGAATGACCTTGGCCCTGGGAGTTGGCTTTCCCAGCCCCAGTGGCGCGAGCTTCAGGGTTGGTAACTCGTACGACTGTTCTTTGTTGTCGTACGCCGACCACATCCCTTCTTTGATCCCCTCCATGAGGACGGGATCCAGGGACCGCTGGTTGTACAGATCCTCCCCCTCCCCGAGGTCGACAACCTGAGTCAGGCTAATCTCGAACTTCCGCTTTGTTCTGACGCCGTCTTTGTACTCCAGGAAGTACTAGGCGTCGACATCGATGGGAGGCCGTGGCGAGGAAGGTCCTGACGCAGGCTGCTTCTGTTTCGAGGCCGGACGTTTGCCAACCGGGTGGTCCTGTTCCCCCCGGTTCCCTTCCGTTTCTCCCCCACATTCTTCGGGGCCTTGGTCTTCTGTTTCTTCGAAGAGCCGACAAAGTCGTCTTAACGATCTCCCGTTCTCTTTTGCGAAGTGCCCTACGTTCCCTCTCTGCCCACGGTCTCGTCCTCCGCGTCATGGCCCTCGACAGTCTCCAAGTCCACTTCAAAGTGGACCGCCGCCTTTCTGGGAGCCGCAACGACCTCCTCTCGAACTGGAGTTGCTTGCCGGAGCCCAGGTATAGACAGCACGGACCGGTCTCTTCAACTCAACGACGAAGACATCGTTAGAGGTGTCGCCTCATCTTCGTTGTCATCAAATTGACCGCGGCTCTCCACCTGCTGCAGTTGAGAAGCCGCACCAGAACCCAGATCCCCCCCCTCTGGCGTTGACCCGCTGGATTCAGGACGTCGAGGCCGACGTCCTTCTCCTCCAACAAGTTAAACAACTCCTGGGCGGGCCGACGTCACAGAGGACGTCGAGGCCGACGTCCTTCTCCTCCAACAAGTTAAAAAACTCTTGAGCCAACAAACCCGCCCTGCTGAAGGAGGTCGTTGTAGAATGGGGTGTTCACAACACCCGCTATGAACCCCTTGAACAAATCCATGTCCAGCAACGCCCCCTTGGAATTGGCGACAATGTTGCCCTTCGCACTGTAAACAGTTTTCATATAGAACTGTCGACGACTCCCTTTCGCAGTTTCCCACAACAAGACGGCCCCAAGCACCCTACGCCGCTTGTTGGCAGCGACGAAGATGACAGGACCACACGACTGTTTAACGGGGTTCGAAGCATCTCCACAACATCAGTCGTCGAATCATTTCAACCTTGTGTGGTCCGACCACGATTTTGAGGTGGTAGACGACCGTCTCATGAATTCTTTTCCCGATTCCCTCCTAAAGGTCCAAGCAGGCTCCCCCTCGCCCCTGGACGAAGACATCGTGCCTGCGGACAACAATGCAAATTAAGTACCCACCACGCTGTCAGGTTTGGGCAAACTAAAGCAGTAACAGTCCAGTCACAGTCAAACCACAACGCAGGATGTAATAAAGCATCACAAACGCAGGCAGGAAACCCTGTACTGCACACGTCGGCCTTAGTATGTCGTTTCGAAAGCAAGAAGTTCGGATTACAGCGAACTTTGACACACGAAGCCCTTTAATACCCCCTGTCGAACAACGCAAACAATCTTTGCAAACGGAACACACGTCATGCGACTATTCCTTATGCGGGGCTCGACACGACTATCATTTTCACTGGTATTGATGGCAGCATGAGGACATGACCTAAGTTCGCCGGGATCGGAACTTCGAATACTGCGGGAAGTGCAGTGCGGTATATCACAGCCACGAACACGAAAATGATAATTGTTGAACACAGCAAAGAACCCTCAGTTCTCGCGTTTACGCAAATGGATTTGGAATTCCCTCTCGTTTTCTGCAAATGATGAATTCTTGTCAACAGCGACAGTAAACCAGACGACCCTTGCCTCATTGCGTGAAGTTCGCATATCGGCAAACTTAGACCGAAACCGTGTGGCGTTGGCGAACGTCATTTCTGGTTGAATTGCCTGAGCTTTAATTCTTTGGAGATTTATACAACCGTGCGGCATTCGTAGTTCAGGTGTCGGCGAACGTCAAGTGGTCCACAATCCCAGGAGGCCTACCAAACTCGCCCAAGTAGCGATTGAGCATCTTAAAAGACTGCCCGAACAACTGATAACCTGCGGGAACTGGAGGGGAATTCTGCTTGTGGCGTGCGAAACTCTGCTCAAAACAGATCCAGATCAAACAAGAAGTCCCACCAATCTCGCCCCAGTTGCGATTGAGCATCTCAAAAGACTGCTTGAACAACGGATAAGTTGCGGGAACTGGAGGGGAATTTTGTTTGTGGAGTGCGAAACTCTGCTTAAAACAGATCCAGATCCAACAAGAAGGCCCACCGAACTCGCCCCGGTTGCGTTTCTGCATCACGAAAGACTGCCCGAACAAATGATAACCCACTTAGGATAGCCATGGTCGGGAGTTTCGAATTGCCTAGTGAAAATGTACGAATGAGGCTGCCGCCCTTCCTGCTGGAAAGGCTGGGCGGCCTGGGACTTATTAGACAAGCAGTAGCCGACCTTGTAAGCCTGACATATGAAGATGCGATGGTACATCGAGAATACTATCGGGCCTTCATAAAAATGAGTCCGTTCAGTAGAGAGCAGAAGTACGAGGTGATGCTCATCCTGCGTGCTGTGTTTAGCACTAGGCTGAGGGCTCCGGTCGTGGGAGATGAGGTCCTGTGGGGTGTCATCCGACAGGAAATAAGTCAAGGGAGGGTGTACGTGGATGATCTGTACCGATTGTATGAGCCGATGGAGAAGTCAAGGAAAGAAAAGGAAGGTTCAAGCTAGAAACCGGGGAATGTTTGGCCGGGAGTTGAAGATTAAATGAAATAAGTAAAACCGCTTGTTGTTCAAACTATGCAGGGGACTACTAAGTCAAAAATGGCAATGAGACGCGCTTGGATGTTGCGACGGTCCACACACCCGCGACCACCCACAGAAAGTGGAGGCGGATGGGAGGTATCGCTCCCCGCAAGCTACATGATCCAAGGATTGGACATCGAATGGAGGGTCGTGACCCTGGGAAGAGGTCAGACGTTCATGATTGTGGAATGTTTGTGGGATGGTATGAGAATTAACAGGGGGCCGGGGGACGATCTGTATACCGATCTTAGAGTAACAGAGACCATATACCTGTCGGAACTTGGATGGTACATGTTAGGAACGAAATTGGCATTAGCTCACAGGTTGCTACCAATTTCCCAGAGGGCTACTAGGATGTTGAGCAGGGTGGGCCAGGAAGTGCGGGGGAGAAGAAACGTGGGATTGAGAACTCGGGTGGAGGTCGGAGGCTGGCGAGAGCTTAAGGCCCCAATGACCGGGTTGAGGTGTCGAGTGCCTCATTTCATGGTGGACTTGGTATTCGGTAGCCTCAAGAGAGCTAGGGACCTGGTGGATTCGACCCTTCTCTTATACACATCTAGATGTGTATAAGAGACAGGTATTCGGTAGCCTCAAGAGAGCTAGGGACCTGGTGGATTCGACCCTGGTCTGGATCCACCTCTTCCAGCCACAAACAACAAGCATGTTCTACGATGTGTTCGTTAAACATGGGCCGTTCTGGGGGAATCAGGCCTGGGAACTACTCGAATTACTCAAGATCTTGATATTCAGATTGCCCCACCTGTCGTTTGAAGAATATGAGCCAATAATTATCAGGGAAATAGAGATAGGGAAAAATTACCTTTCTGGGTTGGCTGACCTGTTCGAGAAACCAGATGAGCAGGGCAGGCCTGAGGGACCTGCATGAGAAAACGCGTCGGAAGAAGTAGGGAAATAAAGGATGGGTACTAGGATAAGTAGGCAGCCATCAGCAAAAGAAGGGCAGTGGTTGGAATTCCGGTCGACCCAATGATGCGGCAAGGAGGAACTAGGAAGACCACTCTGGGGCATTTGGAGGTCGAAAAGCCAAAAGGGCCATCCTCGATAAGGAGGCCACTGGGCTCAAACACCGCCCCAAGAGCCAAAGCGAGGCAGTGATAAAATGCCAAGCAGCGGCGGCAAGTCCCCCGGCGGGAGAAAACTTGGAGGACGCCCTAGGAAAGAAAAGTCAGGAGAGTCGGACCGATTAATATAAGACGCAAAAAAAAAAAAAACAAGGGAATAGGCGGGTTTTAGGGCCGGGAATAGGGCAGTTATGAACAACCGGCCACTTTTTCGCAAAAAACTTTTTTTCCATGTTCAGGCTAGGTAAAGGAATAGCGATGGAGGAAGAAATCGAGGATCAGCAGAGCAAAGGGAATCAGGGCACAAATGGGGATGGGAAACGAAACGAGGGATCAGCCAGGGATCGAGAGTCGGCCAAATTGAAAGGAACCCGAGAAGACAAAAAGGGCGCATCAATTGGAGAAAGTTCGGGCAAAGTCTGGGGTAGCAAAAGCGGACCTCAGGAAGACAGGGAAGGGGGAAACGATATGAGAACAAGCCCTCGGAACTCAGTAGGAGCCACCCCTAAAATGACAAAAGTCTCGGATGCCAGTCGTAAATTGGCAGAGATAGAAAAGCAGACTGCAGAATTTAAGGCAAGGCTTGTCGAGCAGATGATGGCCGAGGATGAAGAGGACCCCCAGGGCGCAGGGTCACGTGAGGGACGCAGGACCGGGCAGGACGAGGCTAGGTATGAGGGGAAGGATAATAGCCACAAAGGAACGCCTAGTAAGAACGGGAAGGACAAGAACGACCCCCCGACAGAGGAGACGGAAAACGCTATGACCCCACCCGCCATCGATAGCGGCACTAGCAGACTGCCCGCCACGCCGAAAGTAAGAGAGGCGTGTGACAAACTCTGGAACCTTAGGGAAAGAGTGCTGAGATGGTTCGACCCAGAAGGAACGCCGAAAACCAGGGAGAAGCAGAGGGAAAGCAAGGAAGGGGAAGGGACCAGTGCGGCCGGAGAAGCGGGTGGCTCTGAAGACGGTCTCAAGAGGGTAGTCGCCACTCTCACCAGGACACTAAACAAGAACCAGGGGTATCTCGCAGATGCAAAGAAGAAACACGTTCGATGGGGCCAACATTACGGAGTTTCTAATAGACTATGAGAACCTAGCAGCCTTACTGAAATGGACGGAAAAGAAAAAGATGGAGTACCTAGGGCAGCACCTGTCGCTAAGCTTGGGAAGGGACATTATGGCCATCGTCGCCTCCAGTGGATCCTGGAAAGAAACCAGGAATGAGATGATGAGGAAATACCTGAAGGTAGAGAAAATGGCGACAGAGGCCGAATTAGCCGCAGTCCAGAGAAAAAACTATGCGACTTACAATGATTTCCTAAGGGCATTTACGTTAGTCGCGCTGCGAATTCCTGGAGTAACGGACCGCATAATGAGTAAATACTTCCTCAGGCAGTTTTTCGAGTTTGATAAAGATAAGATTTTGTCAGCATACCAGCAGACCAGTAAGTTCGAATACACGAGAGATTAGGACTTCAGCACCGTAACACACCTTGCGGAAAAGACAGTAGTCACCGAGACGCTAGTCCTGCTTAAGGAAGGGGAGGTTATAGATCTGACCGGGAAGACGGGGGATAAGGTCAAGAAGGCGATAAGGAGCCTGCACGAACAGTTGCACGGGGTTGACAACAAGATGGACAAAATGAAAAATGCGTTATTAGTGATGTAGGCGCAAGTGTCCAGACCCGCCCTCCCGCCCCAAGAGGCCGTGGTTCCGACAGTTGTAGCAAACCGGGGGTTTGGTAGGAGGGACCCGGCCAACGAACAATGCAAGTATTGCACCATGATCGGGCATTTCGTACGGGCCTGTCTGAGACTCAATCACGATATCGAGCAGCAGAGGTGCAGCAGGTCCCTCAAAGGCGAGATCCTCGGACCTAGGGGGGAGCGTGTCAATTGGAACTCGCCAGGAGGGATGCGGCGAGCCGTCATCCTCCTGAATAACTTACAGATAGCTGCCGTAGAAGCAGAGCCGATAGCCGAGATTGTCTGGGACCAGCCATTGGGACGGGGACCACAGACCAATTTTATCATAGAAGGCAATGACCAGGATAGGGTAAACATTACCACTCGCCGCGCCGGCGCAGAAAAGAAACTTATTCAAGATACAGTAATGGAAGAACTCGCAGGGACTAGCACGGGCCAGCAAGAGACCGAAGCCGAGAAGCAAGAGAAGGTCTATGGGAAGCCAAGGGAGGACGAAACGGTAGACAAGGCTACGGCGGCAAAGAAGAAGTTCAGGTATCAAATTTCGATCCTCACTTCGCCAGAAATCGATGGCACCTTGAGTAAGCTACTGGGAACCATGGTATCAGTGTCCTTTCAGACCATGCTGCAAGCCAGCCCGAGGCTGCTTAAAGGAGTCAGGCAGTTGCTAACGCGTAAGTGCATAGAGGTAGAGGAGGCCCCGGAACTGCAAGAGCAGGACACGAAAGAGGCTGAGGTGCCGCAATTAGTCTCCAACCTCCAAAGCATTCCAGGGGGTCTGGGAGATTTGGAGAAAGCCTTTGCGGACATCCGCCTAAGCCTACCGAATCGTGAAGGTGGCGAAGTCAAGAGAGCGCCACCCGAGACAAAGCTTAGCTTTCATGCATTACCAGTTGGAAAACTTAAAGTTCAAATCGGAACTCACCACACTGACGCGTTAGTGGATGGCAGACCAGAAATCACCCTCATACGACGAAATTTCGCAACGGTCACGGGGTGCATGATAAACAAGGAAGTAGCAGGGAGTATCCGGGGAGCCGATGGCGAAATTCCTTTCATAGGGTATGTCACCAAATGTGCAGTCAGGGCGGGAATCCGGGAATCCACCTGGTCCTTTCAACGGACGATCGTGATGGAAGAAATGGATCACGACGTAATCCTCGGGAGACCGTGGTGCGCCAATGTGGAAATGATAGGAATCCATCTGCACAACGACACATACATGGTAGACATAGAGGACCCAGTGACCGGCCGCGGGGAACTCCTCCGACTTCTTGGGACCGGAGGAGACCCTCCGAAGGGCGAATTGGCAACCTGGTCTCCAACATTCGAAGAAAGTGCGCGGAAGGGGGCATTCGCACGAATGGAAGGCATGAGGGAAAGGGTAGAAATTATTATCGAGGAGGCTTTTAGTAAAAAGGAATGGATCAAGATGGGTCTTCCCGTAAAGAAGAGAAGGCTTGAGGACGAGTCCCTGGGGGTTACGGTGGCGGAAAAGGAGCAGGAAGTTGAACTTGGGGCGAGTCTGCCCAAGCCAAAGGAAGGTCGTAAGGAGACCCCCGAGCTAGCGCTTGAAATCCCAAACCTATTGCAACTTGTCAAGGCAATCAGGTACCACAAAGTGGGGGCGGACCCGGCAGCGCTTGCCAAGTTTGAGGATGAGGTTCGAAAAGGCTACTGCCTGAATGGGAAGATAGTTAGCATTCAGCCCCGTATCATGGAAATAGCGAGGCCAATTCCGACCGTTCATTTTTTAGGAGAACGATCCCAGAAGGCAGTGTGCGAAAATACAAACCCGTAGGAAAGAATGCCAATCCGGTCTCGATCCTAGTAGAAATATCAAAGGAAGAGGCCATGGAGAAAGAGGAGGAGATCCTACGGGTTATAAGGGAGAGACACGCAACGGAAGGGCATCGCATACCAGATGGGGTAGCAGATACCATGAAAATAGGAGTGGAAGGGTTTCTAACAGCGGAAGAAACTCAGTTGATAAGAAAGGCATGCCAGGAGTTTCATTTAGCTTTCGCTTTCAATGATCATCAGAAAGGGCGATTGGACGCAAAGYTAGTTCCCCCTGTCAGGATCCACACCGTACAGCACGAGTGTTAGAATGATAAAAGACCCGCCTATGAGTTTGGGATAGCAACGGAGGTCACGGACCTGCTTAGAGCTAAGATAGATTTTTTCGTGGCTGAACCCACCGCATCCCCTTACGCGAACAAGTGGTTCGTGTTCAGGAAGCCCAATAAGACGCTCAGGTGGATCCAGGACCTGCAGAAGCTCAATGCGGTAACAATCAGGGACACAGACTCGCTTCCACAAGCTGACTTGGTGGCAGAATCTCATGTGGGGCGGAGTATTTACTCCCTGGTAGACTTGTACTCAGGATATGATCAGTTGCCGCTCGATGCGAGGGATAGACCATACACCGCAATGCACACCCCCTTAGGGCAGCTGCAGATGCAAGTGACCCCTATGGGTTTTACAAATGCGGTAGCAGAGGTGCAGACAAGGATACTCATCGTCGCAGGGGATATGTTTCCGAAAAAGTGTAAACCGTATATAGATGATAATCCCGTAAAAGGCGCAAGGTACAAGGACGAGACGGAGGTCGAGCCGGACGTACGAAAGTTTGTCTTGGGATCACATGCAGGATATTAAGGACCTACTCCAGCGATTCCTCGTTTACAATATTACTGCAAGCGGACCCAAGAGCATCCTTGTCGTTCCGGAGGTAACCATACTGGGATTTCGCTGCGGAGATTTTGGGAGGAGACCCGACCCTGCAAAGACGGATTAGATCTCCCAGTAACCAACACCCCTATGCACCACGACGGAAGTACGAGCCTTCCTAGGGGTGGTCGGATTTTGGAGGATCTTCATCAAAGGATTCACAAAGATAGCAGAACCTATTCGTGCAATGATTAGGGAAGGCGGCACTATGGATTGGACCGAGGATAGGGAAGCGGCAGCCCAGACCCTGAAAGACATCCTGTCATCCGATCAAGTCACTCTAGCAGCACCGTATTTCAATGACGAGGTAGGACGGCCTTTTATCTTAGAAACAGATGGGGGACCGCTGACAGTAGGAGGAGTATTGATACAGAGAAGCGAGGAGGGCAGGGAAAGGTCAATAAGATTTGAAAGTAGGACCCTGAATTCGGCAGAACGGCGGTACTCACAGTTCAAGAAGGAGGTCTTAGCGATTCTGCATTGTCTTAAGACCTTTCAGGCATACCTATTCGGAAGGCAATTTATCCTAAGGATCGATCCCACCAACGTTGTCGGGGCCCTGAAGAACTACAAGCGTATAGATCCGACCGTTGGCATATGAATAGGCTTAATATGGCAATTCGACTATGAGGTCGAGCAAATTGCAGGGCTTCGAAATAGGGCAGATGGGTTGAGCAGGGTATGTATCACGCCTGAAGGAGTAGAGGACGCGGAACCAATTGACGCCTTCCTGGAATACGAAGGAGGGACCCTTGTTGTGGATCATGAGATGGCAAATCCAGCAACTACAACAGGTCAGTTGCTGATTCAGACCTTGGAAAACGGCGCACCTGGAGTGGTTGCAGAACTCAGGGAAGGACCACTCACCACGGTCAGGCGCAGAAAGGAAAAAAACTCATGGGGAGGAGAAGTAGGGGCCAGAGAGGAACTGATGGCAATGACCGTCGAAGGGGGAGGGGACGCCGTGATGACGTTGGCGGAAGCTTGGGCGCAGAAGGAGTGTCAGTACCTAGTCAACCTCACTCAGGAGGAGCAGGGTACGAATGAGAAGGAACAAGAGTTCTTCCTCATACAGATGTACGAGGGCGTCTTCAAAGAAATCGGTTTGCTGCTTGTACGGAACAAACAACCCACGAAAGTCAGTCCCAAGGCAAGGGAGGAAGTAGAAAAGTATGTCCTAAGAAATGACCATTTGTTCAAAAAAGAGGAAGGGATGACACCTAGACGCGTCATTTGTGGGACGTCTACGCAGCTGGACGTAATTTAGGCAATGCATGATGGGCTAGCTAGAGGTCACCGATCGTCGAAAGGAACTCTTGCGAAGATCGTTCCCCTGTACTTTTGGCCAGGGATGGCGGGCATGGTCGTAACGTATTATCAAACGCGTCTGATATGTCAAGAAAGGAGCGTCGTACGAGTTTACGAGCCCCTTACACCCACCCGGGTACTGGGACCCGGACACCTTGTTCACCTCGACCTTGCCGTTATGCCCGTATCAATGAATGGGTTTAGATACATCTTGGATGCAAGGGATAATCTCAGTGGCTATGTAGAAGTCATAGTCCTCAAGAAGAAGACGGGGAAAGCAGTGGCCGACTGTGTGGAAGATTTCTACCTAAGGCACCCCTTCGTGCGCAGGTTTATAACAGACAATGGGACAAAATTCGTTAACCAGGAAGTGTTGAACAGGCTTAAGACACTGTGTGTACCGATCAAGATCACCGAGCCCTACCATCCTGAGGCAAATGCACTAGTAGAAAGGGGTCACCGGACTTTGAAGAACACAATCGCAAAGTTGGCAGCAGATAATTTGGGAAGTTGGGCACGGTTTCTCAAGCAGGCAGTCTTCGCCGAGAACATGACTCCAAAAAGAACAACGGGATGTATTCCAGCAGAACTCTGGTATGGAAGGGAGATCGATTTTCCAATAGAAGCTTTGGTCCCTACCTGGAACAGGCTAGATGACGATCCACACTCGAGCACGGAAGAGTTAATCACCCCACGTGGTCAGCAGGTCGCCAGGAATGAGGAGGCACTCGAGGAAGTAGTCAATCGTGTGGCAGACAGCCGAATGAGGGATAAAGCGAGATGGGACCAGGTTAAGAACATTCGGAAGGAGCCACTCCAGGTGGGGGAAAAGGTGTTAGTTAGGAACTCGGCTCTTGAAAGCACATGGTCCAGGCAACAGGGAAAAAGATTCAAAGGGCCTTACAGGATCGCCAAGCGGATGGGACTGAACACATTTGAGCTTGAGGATCTTGATGATACTAGCATAAGAGGGCAATTTCCGGGACAGAGACTGGTCAGATTTTTTAGCAGGGATCTGGTGGAACAGTGGCTACATGAGGCTCAGGACAGGGAAAGAGGGGAAGTCACAGCTTGAAAGGTAGACAATTGGCTATGACCCTGGACCGCCTCCCTATGGAAGTAATCATGACCACAAGGGTTGTTCTTTCGTGCGACTTGAATTTTTGTGGAACGTGGGGAGATTGTCTGGCCTGACTGTGACTGGGTCTGGGAGCACGGGACAGTGTATTATAGTTTTTGTGGGGTAATGTTGGGGACTGTCTACGCGAGGTACTTCTGGGCTGGGACAATGTACCATAGTTTTTGGGGGGGGTGATGTTGTGGACTGCCCAAATGGGGCATCTATGTGTTGGGACAATGTGTCGAGGGTTCTAAGGGATAATGGGGCTACCAACTATATGGGGGCAAGCAAGAGTTATAGGGAAGCCTCCAGAGCCGCAAATGGGAGTGGAAGGGAATGCGTGTGTATGAGGGGTACCGTGACTGTTATGCATGAACAGGGTCAGGCAAGAAGAAGAAAGACAACAAGAAAACAATGGAGTTTGGGAATGAAAATGACAGCAATGCAATTAACAGGCCAGAAGAGGGACAGTCGTCAAGGCAAGCTGGAGAGCCAAGCTCCAAAAAAAAGGAGTTGTATGTGGGGTTCGATCACAACCTAGTTGTGAACAGGGGGGGGAGAAAGCAAGGGACCAGAGGATCTCCACCACTGAAGGAAGGGGAGCCAATAGAGTTGCCTTCAGACAGTGACCCTAGTAGTAAGGAAGAGGGAAACCCGGAGGAAGGACAACGGCCAGAAGAGAATGAGCGCGTTGAGTTCATTGACCTCACCAGCGACGAGGAGGGAGATGAGGTAACAACGCCCACAAGGGAAGAACGGGGAAGAGAAGAGCTGCCGGGTGAGAAAAAGGACAAATGGATAGAAGAGTTCGGACCTGAGTTCAGCGATTGGTTTGATCAATGGGGCACTATCTTGCGATATCAGAGGATTATGAAGGCAAGGGAAAAGTTGGGTAGGGGAGAGGATCTATCCCCAACAACCTTCTTCACAGAACGGACACTCCTCCAGTTCTAAGGAATAAAGAGACAAATGGAGCAGGAAATGGAGGATCGCGCAAGGAGGGAGGCTCAACGCAGGCCACCTGGACGATAGAGGCACAACAACCGTAATAAGGAATAACTAGGAGTTAGGAGGGTCTGGTCCCTGGGCAGTGAGAGCTGTCATTTTGGACTTCGCATTTGAACTCTTTTTGTGAATGCATCTCCTAAGCTCGAAGTGATTAAGGACAGGAGGTTTTTTTTGCAAATTACAATAGAACTGTGAATGGTTGGGATGTCTAAGGGGAAGGAAAAGGGGAATACAGAGGGACTTAGAAGAGACAAGTCTGTAATGTGGTCTTTGCATTCGAACTCTGTCTCCTTGTTTTTTTAAGGACTGGGATGAAACTACTTTTTGGATCAAGGAAACTAGTAGGGGATGGGTGACCGGGGGTACTTTGTATAAATACTCGCTCCGTTTGGGAAATATGAGCCTTTCGGTAGAAAGGAAGGGATTGGGGGCTGATTGAGTTTGCCTCAAGGAAATGGACAGGGGCATGTGAAGTCTTGAACGTTAAAAAACATTCATGGCGAAAGTCTTTCCCTTGAGTTATGTATCCCTGATTGAATGAATCGCTCCACGACTCCTTGTGAGAGGTTAGGGGACCTATGATTAGACAGGAACCCTCTCCCCTAGGAGCCTAATCCAACCTACCCCACGCAATCCCCGAGCATTGAGAAGCATATGAGAAGTCAAGAAAGTGGCAGGGAAACATTGAAATGATACAACACCCCTTACAATGGTTGAACGGCCGGGCGGGCTAGTGCTGCTTGGGGCCGCGAGCCTCAACTTGAGTTCTAGACGCTAAGTCGGATGTATGGATTGATGTAAGAATGACAAAAGACATGAGGAAAAGGCAGAAGCATGCGTAAAACCCCAAGAAGATGGCCGCCTTCCAACCCCTAAGACGAGATAGGATCCGTGTCCTCGAGGCCCACCCCCTCGGGCGCTAACATTGAAATGGACAAGGATGGCATAACCAGGATGGCCAATTGAAATGGATAAGGATGGTCCTAACTAGGCTGGTTGACTTGGAAATGGAAAGAACGACCCTAACCAGGTTGTTCGGAATGGTTCATGACAAGGGTCATCCTTTGGAATTGGCACTGGGGTCCCCTTGCATGGCTGCTTGAGATGCATGACATTGGAAGAGCTGACCCTCTGAAAAGATATTGGAAAAAGTTGAGCCTTGGAAAAGACATTGGAAGATCTGAGCCTTGGAAACGACATTGGAAGAGATATTGGACTCAGCCTTGGAAGAAGTATTGCATTGAGCATTGGACTGAGAATGAGCACCGGACTGAGATTGAGCATGGGAATGGGACTGAGCATTGAAATTGGATTGAGTATTGGAAATTGCATTGCATAAACAGGGAACCCTAGGCAACAGGAAATGGACTTGGAGAGAGCTTTGAAAGGGAATTTTTTTTTTCCTCTAGTCTTTGGCCTCATCAAGAGGGGGATACCGGTGCATGCATTGCGACCCCAAGACCTCTATCTATCCCTTTGAGGGAAAAAGTCTCAGCGCGACCTGTTCCTCTTCGAGAGGGTGAGGGTTAAAGGACTAAGGCACCTACCACTTGGATCGGTGCGGGACGTCCAGAACCACCTCCGACAACGAGCTATAGTCGGGGAGTTCCAACTGCGCCTCTTGTTGAACGCCTAAACGTCAAAGGGCGAGAGAGCCAAATGGGCAGGAAAGTCATTCTCATCTAGTCTTTTTTGGTACTCTCCAACCACAAGCCACGTCATAGAGGGGTGGCATGGCCATTTGGGTCGGACCACGGCTGCCCGCACTAAGTTGGGCAGCACTGTCCAAGGGGAGAGGCCGGGCGAGGTACCGGGTGGAGTTCGCCACCACCAGGGGGCATTGACACTGCCCTGCCAGAACATTACAACCGTTTCGGGACTAATTGCGAGGTCTTCGTAACTGCACTCGCGGACTGATCGAGAACCCCAACTCTCTTGAAAGAAAGAGACCGAAATCCAGAAAATCACCACTCGGGAGGAACGATTCGCGAGGAACACTCTTACGGCTAGACGAAACCCTGGCAGGCTTGGATTGGACCTACCTGACAGACGTGAGGAGGAACCTTGGTATCGGCGCTCGCCACGTAAGTGAACAAAGATCGAGCCGGGTAGAAGGATGAGGCGTCGTTCGCTGGGGAGGAACTGATCACTCTTCCTTTTGTGAAGCGGACGGGCTTGTGTCCTTGACTTGCGGTTGGCGGGCCAAAGATCTGCGTACCTTCGAGTGAGAACCAGTCGCGCGATGGGGACATCGCGTTTTGAGTGGGGGGAAGGTGTGCCATCTACCAATGAATACACATGAAAATAAGACTTGTAATTGGTCTTGGGAAAAAGGGGCGTGTCAAGATGGCCGGAACAGAAAAATATTGTAATTGGTTTTGTATGGGCCTGAGAAAAGGGGGCCTGGCAAGACGCCAGAGTAGAAAGGACTTGAACAAGTGACATGGTTTAAACTTAAGAAAATGGCTTGGCAAGATAACCAGGAAGGAAAAGGCTGGTGTGATTGATTCTGCATAGACCTAGGAAAGGAATTCGCAGACGGAGAGTTGGCTGTGTAATTGGCTCGTATAAGCTTGAAAAAATGAGAAGTGGCTGAGGGGTGAGCCAAGCATTGCGCATGGAGAGTCAATTAAGTAAAGGGCAAGAAAAGGCAGAGGATGATATGCATGCGAAATTGGCAGGACCTGAGAAAGGCCGGGAGGAATGACCCGGAAAGAATGCATGTGGATTTGGCTATGTCTGAACTTCGGGAAGAGGAAAATCGTATTGAAAATGAGTGGATGTCCTAAGAGTAATGAATGAGACAAAGCCAAAATGATTTTTGCTCGAGAATGTTTTCTCAATGAAATGGGAAGATAGATTTGAGATTACGAATGCAGCCTTCAAGACATTGTCGACAGCGAGAAATAACGTACAATAAAAAACTAGTTGCAGGGCATGTCTGTGGTCAGACCCCTCCAAAGGGGGATGCTAGTCAACTTGATAAGGAAAAGAGACATCAAGCTGCTTAAGCTCCTTGACGTGTTGCTAGCTCGCACCTGGAGGAAGCCATGGCGAATGATCCTTGTGACATTCGCCGCCAAAATTTTCCTCTTACCGCGGTCCCGTGGGAGGGTGATGGGCTCGTCGTCCTTTCTTTTGTGGGATGATACCGGAGGTTGTTGGGAAGCTCCTGGGTATTTGGGAGTTCTAGTGAGAAAGAGATACAACTGTGAGACGGACGTTGATTCACAGAGAGTGTCACGCGCTCGTTACAAAGATATTATTGAGCTTGGGGACGTTACGCAATTTAAACGACCCCGAAACAAAACCTTGACCCCTACATACCCTCCCCCGCCCCGAGGGCGGAAACTTAAAGAAGGAGCCGATAAAAGAGTGGGAAAGACAAAAAGAACCCTAGCAAGCTAACTACCCATCCCACCCCACCTCTCTTCCCTATCTGTCTATCCCTCCAAAATTCCTACAGACCATGGATTGGATTGGTGCGCGATGAGGACATCGCGAATGAGTGGGGGGAATATGTCGGGACTGGTGAGTCTCGAATGACTTCTTGTCATTCGAGAGACTGTATATGACCAATTTGTGCACGACAGAGAAAACCGGAGGCAGGAATGCTGGAAAGAGCGGAAGCATGGGCACAGACAGTAGGAAGCCAGAGGCTGCCCAGAGTCGTCGGGGCCGCCAGACTTGAAATGGGTTGGCTAAGCAGAAAGCGGCAAAAGGACCGGGATAGAATAGCAGGGGCGACTCTTTCCCCGAAGGACGCAGAAGGGCCGCCGAGAAGTCGGGAGTAGCTTAGGAGGTGCGCAGCAAGGGAAGGAAGGAAGTGGGAAGAGACTGGGCGCAAGGCGCCGACGCGACACGGCGGCAGGAGGGCCGAGGAGACCGCAGGGTAGGTGGGAGCCGGCACCCGAAACAGAATAGCATGCGGGAGGCAATAGGAGTAGGGATCGGAGCTCGCTGTAAGACAGAA